TGTTTGCTGCACATGACCTTCCTTCCTTAAAACCAAATTGCTTATTTGATATCATTCTGTATTTAGCAAGTACTTCAACCTATTGATTTTTTGCCACTATTATATAAGGGTGTAAGGTTGGTGAGCTTCCAACTTTTTGGTAGTTTTCCTTCACACTGATTTTTGGAATATTGATAATAAAGGAGTACATAGTTTTCATACACATTCCCTAAGAACTCAGTTATAAATCTCATGTGATCCTTCTGTTTTAGTAGTTGTTTTATTTCATTGTTTTTGAATAATATTTTCTATATTTTTCCTTACGTTTGCACGGGTATTTGCCATTTCAAAGTATGGTCCTGAACAAACACTGAATGATATTTCTCATAAAAAATTTCACACATTTCCTATATCTTAGTATGAACAATATTATCTTTGATGACGCTAAATTGATCTCTACGTTTAATCTTACTATTTATGGTTAAAGAAAGGTTGATTTGTACATTTATTGATTATATCTTTCTCAGAGCTTGATTTCGCCTCCCGCATGGTTTAAGAAACAATATGACAGGTCCAAGGATTTTGCAATCGGAAGTTCAAGCAGCAGTAAAAAAAAAAAAAAAAAAAAAAAAAAAAAAAAAAAAAAAAGCAGTTGATACAGATGAGTTAGCTGTAGAATTCATCAAATGCATAGGTGATTTTGGAATTGATTAACTGCCGAAAATGCTTAACGAGATTATGAATCTGGAAATATCCCTGCAGAACTAAGTAAATCCATCTTTATTTCATTACCGAAAAAGCCCGCTGCGGCAGAATGTGAGCTGCACAGGACAATTAGCATCGAGTCATGTAGTGAAAATATTGTTAAGGGTACTGATGAGAAGAACAAGAAACAAAACTAGACCTGAAATATCCAAACTGCAATGTGGGTTTGTAGAAGACAGCGGTACGCGAAATGCAATATTTATGATCCGAATGTTATTGAGATGCAAAGAAACCTTTTCTTATGTTTTATAGATTATAGGAAGGCTTTCGATAATGTCAGACACGAAAAACTTAGAAATGCTGGAGGATATCCAGATAGATGGTAAAGATCTAAGAATCATAAGAAACCTGTATTGGAAGCAAACAGCAGCTATAAGAATTGGTGGTCAGGTCAGGTGGGCGAATATGTAGAAATAAAGAAAGGAGTAAGACAAGGATGCGTGATGTCACCCGACCTATTCAACCTCTCTTGTGAAAGAGTAAAAAGAGAGTTAGAAGATATGCCAGGGATGGTTGTAGGAGGGAGCAATATTAATAACATCCGCTATGCAGATGATACGGTTCTGTTAGCAACATCGATGGAACAACTCCAAGGATTAGTGGATAAGGTGGTCTTAGAAAGTACAAGAAAAGGGTTTATGTGTCGACACAAAAAAGACAGTGCATGATAGTAACCAAAGAGAAGAATATTCCATCATTTAACCTCTGGGTTCATCACACAAAAATAAGGCAAGTGAACTGGTTTAGTTATTTACGAAGCTTGATCACATCAGATGGCAGGGGCGACAGGGAGATCAAACGAAGAATTGCAATGTCAAGAAAGACCTCTTCTAAAATAAAGAAAATTTTATGCAATCCAAAGATCACCGTAGCAACAAGACTAAGGGTATGGAAGTGTTACGTGTTGCTGGTCCTAAAATATGGAAGTGAGACATGGACTGTGTCTAAAGAAATGGAAAATAGAATTATTCAAGCCGAGATGTGGTTCTTGCGCAGATTATTGAGAATAGGCTGGGAAAGTCATACAACTAATGAAGGTTTTAATTAAAGCAGACAATGAAAGAAAGCTGATGAAAACAATTAAGAAACAACAGCTACAGTTCCTTGACCATTGCATGAGAAAAGACAGAATGGAAAAGCTAGCACTTAGGGCAAGATAGCAGGAAAAAGGGCAAGAGGAAGACAGAGGGTCACATTTCTCCTAAGAATGGAGTGGGAGGTCAGCGATTGAGCTTATTCATTGCACGGAAAGCAGGAATGATTGGCATAAAATGGTCGCCGATGTCATACGATACGGCACTATAAGAAGAATGGTTTGGGTATACTCATTTTTCTAGTTTATACCTTTCGTACTCTGCCTGAGAACTATGTCCTCTTAATCTTTCCCAAATGAACTTGTTTTCTTAATCTTTCCCAAAGGAACTGCTTGTTTTCTTAATCTTTCCCAAAGGAACTGCTTGTTTTCTTAATCTTCCCCAAAGGAACTGCTTGTTTTCTCTCACCGAAAAAATCAATATTGCAATACTTCCCCTTTCTTCCCTTCCTGACGATGACTTTTTTCCTGTTGCAGACAGTATATACTTTAGTTTAATATCATCTTTATGCTTTGTGAATATTAGGCCAAGCATCGACGGTATTTCTAGCCCAATTACCCTGGTATTATCTATTACAGATTTATGACTTCCAAGTAATTTAGTATTTCACGAATTTGGCCTCTCTCTGGGATCGAAACCTTCCCAATCAATTCTGCTATTAAAATCCCGTTACATTTTTTTCATTGGTTTCCTAAAGTTCTAGGACTTCCTCCGGTCTCTTGAGCGTTTTTGGTAATTTTCTTGTGACCACACCGATTTATGAGGTAGCATTTACATTGTAGTTATTAGTATGTTTTACCTCAATTGCCTTTAGTTCCATTATAGGGTCTTGTTTAATTTCTGACTCCTTTGTAATAACTCCTTTACTTGTTAAAACTGCTACTCCCGCCATTTCCATTTGCCCATCTTTTCTCCAAATATCGTCTTAATGTTACATCCTCTATGGAGGGATTCGGTTTAGATCCAGTGATGTATATTACATCTGATTTATTAACCTAAATTAATGTATCTAGTATATTTGTATAAGCTATTTCTATACAATATTTCGGTATTCCTTACGGGTACAAGTCTAATGTTTGTGTCT